TTTTTAAAGCATTTATTTATTTTTTAGTTTGGAGAGAGAATGCAAGCTGGGGAGAGGGGCAGAGAGAGAATCTTAAGCAGGCTGCACGTTTAGCACCGAGCCCAATGTGGGGCTTGATCCCACAACCCTGGGATCATGACATGAGCTGAAATCAAGAGTCAGATGCTGAACCAACTGAGCCACCTAGGCACCTCTAAAGTAATCTTAAATTGCATTACATATGCATAGTATCAGGGCCAAAATATGTGAGACCCAATCAAAATTTTTCCAGACTTATAGCTGACTCACACTGTAAGTTCTAGAGCAAGTCACTTAACTCTATAATGTGGTAAACATAATTTCTCTTCAGAGGTTGTAAAATGTAATGGATGTTTTATTACTGTTCATGTGTAGAGATGAAAGGCATTATTAGTGAATTAAAACTTAAAAAGTAGTTTACACACTAAACTGTTAATAGAATGGAAAATATTTTTTTTGTATTGCTTAATTCTCCATAATCTATTATGTGTACTGACCATCCATAATATGCTAGTTGGACATTGGGGAGGCTCCATAGGAAATCAGCTTTCTGGAGAAAGACTGCATAAAAAGTTTAGAAATTCAGAAGTGTGTTTATTTTTGACACTGAAACACAAGAAATTTGTGAAATGACTTTTAAGTAGATGATTTAGCCTCAAATTTTTTTCTGAAAAAGATTTATTATATTTATTTCTTGGTGACTTTAAAAAGGGAAGCAGGAAATCTGGAAATAAGTTATTAGTGTTTTGGGGGGTTTTAGTACTCACTGGAGGAAAAGAACATTTACATGGGTTACTTTTATTTTACTTCTTTGCTTTCTAAAAGTGTAAAATAATATAAATAGATTCTACAATTAATTTGGCAGCAGAAAGACTAGATAATAGGCAAAAACTTGAAAGTTTTTATTGTGTTGAAAATATGCATAAAATTTACCATTATAACCATTTTTAAGTATACAGTTTAGTGGCATTCAGTACATTCACATTTCTGTTCAACTTGTCACGATCCATTGGCGTCAAACTTCTTCCATCTTCCCAAACTGGAACTAAACAATAACTCTCCATCTTGTCTCCCTCTAGCACTATTTCACTTTCTATCTTTGTGAATTGTTTACTATCTTCTATTATGCGTATTTTCCACATCCTTTATGATCATACAGTTTTTCTCCTTTGACTTAATAATTTCCTTTTTATTAAATTAATTTTACATTTCTGGGAAGAACCTCATTTTGGTCATTGTTCTGTATTCTTTTAATGTACTCTGGATTTGTTTTTGCTAATACTGTGTTCGGGATTTTAGAACAGTATCCATTTTTGAAATTAGTTGATTTTTAGTTTGTGTTTGTTAGGTTTTGGAGTCTTGTTATATTATCTATCTTCAGAACAAATGGCAAACTTTTTTTTTCTTTATTTTGAGAGAGATGGTGGGGTGGGAGGCAGAGAGAGAGAATCTGAAGCAGGCTCAAGTAACGTGGGGTCTTGATTCTACAAACCATGAGATCATGACCCAAGCCAAAACCAAGAGTCAGGTGCTCAGTTGACTTAGCCACATAGGTGCCCCATGTAATTCAGTCACTTTTCCCAAAATTTAGTTTTGTCATTACCTCTATGTTCAGATGAGATAGTCTGTCAGTTCCATTTCTCAAAGACCTTCCTTTTGGATCTGTCATCTTCTTCCAGATGACTTGTTCCCTGTACTTGCTGCACAGTTGTCCTGGATTTAATTTCACCATTAACGGAGTGAGAATTCTTGCTTTTCTTATTTCCCTGAGGTAGATTCTTTAGAAAGGGTGGATGAGTGTTCATTTTTAGGCCTCTCATGTCAACTGTCTTCAGTCTACCCTCAAAATTTATTCTTCTGGGTATAGAATTTTAGGTTGGAAGCCATTTTTTCCTGAGAACTTTGAGGCCATTCCTTCACTGCCTTCTAGTTTCCAGTGTCGTATCATACATACAGCATAGCTAAATCTAAGATACTCATCCTAGAAAATATACATAGGTGAAGTTTTTTTCTCCTCTCCACCCTCCCCAAAAGTCTGGGCTGGATATGGAAAACTTCTGGTGCATAAAATGCTGTACTAGTTTTTGGAAGAATTAGCTTCTAAGCATGATAACCACCCATATCTTATGTTTCTCAGGCAATAACCAGTTATTTTACAGAGTTATTTTCAGCAAGGCTTGCTTCTGTTAACCAGTTCTGACTTGTCATAAATTTATTGTCTAAAACCCGTTTTTAGTAACTCAGCAAGAGGGTAGTCTTCCAAATTCCAAGAGTGGAATTTGATTTATGTATCTTCAAGTTATCCACAAATTTCTAATTATATGAAAGTTAACTTTTGAGACCATATTTGCTTTCTATGTGAACTCAAGAGCTGACATTTTCTTTCAATAATGTTGTGAATATCTTCATTCTAAACGAAGTTGAGCTTTTGGGGTCCCCAGATGGGTTCTCAGGGAAAATGTTTTCTAGCTTTTGACAAATAGGGGACTTTGGAGGGAAGGGTTAGATTCTGTTTTAGGCCTAATTTTGGTACTTAAAACATTAAATAATATTAAATCTAAATTGAATATGTGTCTACTGCTCAAATGTTATTTTTTCCCTGCAAAGTGCTGTTTTGTTTATTCCTTCATTATGAATTCTGACATCACTAAAGTCCTCTGAGAATAGGTTTGTTTTTCATGGATCGTTTTTGTGTGATTAGAGCTGTCACGAAGGCTTCCCAACATGCATTCACTTGCATTTACCTGCAGTGAATGTCATCTTCTGTACTGTTGCCCAGTTACTTTAGTTTCCTGGAATGCTTCACAGTTTAAGCTTACTATCTATGTGACACATCTTGGCCCATTAGGGTTCTGAATATTGTCAATCTGAATGGAGTATTTTTTGATAGACTTGTAGACTCTCCTATTATAGCTCTTCCTAAACAAAATAGAGATTTTGCTCTTTAAAAAACAAAACTAAGATCTGACATTTCATTAACATTGCTGTCTTAAGAGGGAGTATTTATTCAACCAATATTGAGTAATACCTACTATGTGTCAGGTTCTGTGTTTAGACATAATTCCTGCCCTTATTGCAGGCTTACGTCTTAATATATAGGTAAATGTTACAAAATTCTCTTAAATAAACTCCAGTTAAGTGCTGTAAATTGGCAGTACAACATTCAGTGAGATTAATACGGGATCTAATTTGGGGAGGAGGCTGGGCCCAATGAGACTTGAATAAGAGTTTGATTTCCAAAATGATAAAAGAGCATAGAGCCAAAAAATCTAAAGAGGTTTTTAATAATTAAAAGTACAGAATTATTTGTAGATGTCTTCTTAAACTTTTAAAAGTTAGTTTTGTAGAGGATGATTTGGTGTAACCTTTATATTTTACATGAATGGGACTTGGATTTTTTTGTTTTGCTCTTTAAGGTTCTCTAAATGGTGGTGTAACTTGATCTTTCTCTATCAGGGCTAAGTAGGTCCTGAAGATTGTGGCTTGCATTTGAAAACCGGTACAAATTAAGACTTTAAGAGGAGGTAGGGTGCAAAATTTCAGGCTTCTGTTGTTGGAAATGTCAAAAATATCTTGCAAAGAGGTTACCACTGCTGGGTTTCTTTCACTAAGAGGACTGAGGATGTTCTTTACTACTAACACTCTACTGGTCAGTAATTCATAGTTAACCCCAATCAACACTTCATCTTGAAAACTGATTTTTATTGGAAGGACTGAGGGTTCAAGCCCTGAATCGGGCTTTGTGCTGACAGCTCAGAACCTGGAGCCTGCTTCAGATTCTGTCTCCTTCTCTCTCTGCCCATCCCCCACTTGCACTCTCTCCAAAATAAATAAACATTAAAAAAAATTTTTTTCCCCTTCCAAATATTCAAATTACTACTTTGGAATATTACACTATGCTGATTCTGGGCTTTAAGCATACTAGTATTTCAATTCAAGAAGCTAGGAAATTTATAGTAGCAGTAATTAGAGAAATTATTAATACTTTTTTTTTTTAGAAACTGTTGTTGAGCCAACTGGGAATATGAATTCTCTTGAATTAAAGACTATAATTTTGCTAATGCCAATTTGTTATTTAGGCGAAATGTTTAATCTTGCTTGTATTTGCATCATTAAAAAAAATCCTAACCTTTAAGTATAATTGATGCATATTACATTAGTTTCAGGTGTACAATACAGTGTTTCAACAACTCTATATATTATGCTATGCTCACACAAGTGCAGCTACCATACTAATACATGTAATACGCTATTACAATACCAGTGAGTGTATTCCCGATGCTGTATCTTTCATCTTTGTGACTTATCCTACAACTGTAAGGCTCCTAACCTTCCAAGCCCCTTCACCCATTTCACCATCCCACCCACCCCTGCCCTGCAACCACCAGTTCTCTGTATTTGTGAGTCTGTTTTGGTGTTTTTGTTTGCTTATTTTTTTGGATTTCCACATGTAAGTGAAATCATATGGTATTTAGTCTCATTTCACTTAGCATAATACCTTCTAGGTCCATCCATGTTGTTTGTTGCAGATGGCCAGATCTGATTTTTCTATGGCTGATTGTTATTCCATTGTGTATCTGTATATATTATACACATACATATATAAATACATGTATCTATATATACATATGCACATACCCACCAGATCTTATCCATCACTTATTGATAGACACTTGTGTTACTTCCATATCTTGTCTATTGCAAATAATGCTGCAGTGAACATGGGGTATATATATCTTTTTTAAACTTTTTTTTTTTTAACGTTTATTTATTTTTTGAGACAGAGACAGAGCATGAACGGGGGAGGGTCAGAGAGAGGGAGGCACAGAATCTGAAACAGGCTCCAGGCTCTGAGCCCGACACAGGGCTTGAACTCACGGACCGCGAGATCATGACCTGAGCCGAAGTCGGCCGCTTAACCGACTGAGCCACCCAGGCGCCCCGGGGTATATATATCTTTTTGAATTAGTGTTTTTATTTTCTTTGGATAAATACCTAGTAGTGGAATTACTGGGTTGTATTGGATTTCAATTTTTAGTGTTTTGAGGAACCTCCATTCTGGTTTCCAGTGATTGCACCAGTTTACACTCCACCAACCATGCAGGATTCCTTTTTCCACATCCTCCACACTTATTTCTTGTCTGATACTAGCCATTCTGACAAACTTAAGGTCTTGTGGTTTTTGAGGTGCGTTTCCCTGATGAGCAGTGATGTTGAACATTGTGTCTGTTGGCCATCTGGATGTCTTTGGAAAACTGTTAATTCAGATCCTCTGCCCATTTTTTAATTGGATTGTTTTTTGGTGTTGGGTTAAAGAAGTTCCTGATGTATTTTGGATATTAACCTCTTATCAGGTATCATTTGCAAATGTCTTCTTCCATTGCCTTTTCATTTGCTGGGCAGAGACTTTTTATTTTGGTGTAGTTTTAATTTGTTTTGGTTTCTCTTGAGACCTATTGAGTAAAACGTTGCCAAGGCTGATGTCCCAGAGACTATTTTCTGTTTTCTTTAAGGGAGTTTTCAGGTTTTATGTTTAGGTCTTTAATCCACTTTATTTTTGTATATGGTGTAAAGAAAGTGGTTTCATTCTTTTGCACATAGCTGTTCAGTTTTCCTAATATAATTAAAGAGATGATCTTTTCCTTACCGTATGTACTTGTCTCCTTTGTCCATAGATTGCCCATGTCAGTGTCCTTTGTGTCTGGTTTTATACTAGTATCATACTGATTACTACAGCTTTGTAGTTGTTTGAAATCTGGGATTGCGGATTATTTTGGCACTCAGGGACCTTTGTGGTTTCATACAAGTTTTAGGCTTGTTCTAGTTCTATGGAAAGTACTGTTCGTATTTTGATAGAGATTACATTGAAGCTATAGATTGATTTAGGTAGTATAGACATTTTAACAATATTCTTCCTATCCAGGAGTATGGCATGTTTTTCAATTTATGTCATCTTCAGTTTCTTCAATTGGTGTTGAATAGTTTTCAGAGTACAGGTCTTTTACCTCCTTGGCTTATTCCTAGGCATTTTATTCTGGTAAATGTGGGTGTTAATTTCTTTCTACCACTTTAATAAACGTATAGAAATACAACATTAATTTTGTATCCTGCAACTTTACTGAATCTTCATTTATTCTAACAGTTTTTGGGGGAGTCTTTAGGGTTTTCTATATAAAGTATTGTGTCATTTTAACTTTTTCTACCAATATGGATGCTTTTTATTCCTGTCTGCTGTGGCTAGGACTTCCAGTTATTTGTGCAGTTTTGATTTTAGCACTTAGGATGTAAAAAGTTGCACAGATTATCATTAAGTAGACTTCAGTAGAACACTGAATTTTACTTTTGCATAGCAACAAACTTAAATAACTTTAATTTGAAGAATTAGAATTGTTTAGCATGTTTTTTTGTCCCAAGGTGAGTAAATTTTTAAAAATGATCAGTCTGTTACATATTAGGAGTTGTATTACTCAGAAAGCTGCATTTAAAAAATCTTAAACATCTTATTGTCTTTTAAATGACAAGCACAATATATTAATAGTTTTGAGGTTAACACCTGAAACTTTACATAGTATGTACAGGTATCTTTGTTGTAAGTAGGCTTAAAATATTTTTTTCTCTTGACAGGAAATGCACAATTTTGAGGACGAGTTAACATGTCCCATTTGCTACAGTATTTTTGAAGATCCTCGTGTACTACCATGCTCTCATACGTTTTGTAGAAATTGCTTGGAAAATGTTCTTCAAGCATCTGGGAACTTTTATATATGGAGACCTTTACGAATTCCACTCAAGTGCCCCAATTGCAGAAGTATTATTGAAATTGCTCCAAGTGGTATTGAATCTTTACCTGTTAATTTTGCATTAAGGGCTATAATTGAAAAGTACCAGCAAGAAGACCATCCAGATATCGTTACCTGTCCTGAACATTACAGACAACCATTAAATGTTTACTGTCTCCTAGATAAAAAATTAGTTTGTGGTCATTGCCTTACCATAGGTCAACATCATGGTCATCCCATAGATGATCTTCAGAGTGCCTATCTGAAAGAAAAGGATACACCTCAAAAACTGCTTGAACAGTTAACCGACACACACTGGACAGATCTTACTCGTCTTATTGAAAAGCTGGAAGAACAGAAATCTCATTCAGAGAAGATGGTCCAAAGTGATAAGGAAGTTGTCCTCCAGTATTTTAAGGAGCTTAGTGATACATTAGAACAGAAAAAAAAAACCTTCCTAGCTGCTCTTGGTAATGTTAGCAATCTGATTAATCAAGAATACACTCCACAAATTGAAAGAATGAAAGAAATAAGAGAGCAGCAGCTTGAATTAATGACACTGACAACATCTTTACAGGAAGAGTCTCCGCTGAAATTTCTTGAAAAAGTTGATGATATCCGCCAACATGTACAGATTTTGAA